CGGTAGTGCTTCCTCCTTGCCCATCCCACCCACACCCCACTCTGAGCATCTCCCAGCTGCAGGAGCCACGTGTTCAGAACGTTGGGAGATCATGATAGCATGAGCAACCATCCTGATTTTAGCACTGAAAGTCTCATGTCCTGGGAAGCCCCTCAGTCCTGGACAAACAGGGATGGTTGGGCATCCCAGGTCATACTCATTCCAGCTGAGTTTGGGAAGCGGTGCCCGAGTCCATGGTAGTAGCTAACGTTCATCCGGACTTGACCATGGACACACCCTACGGAACACGCTCATTACGTTTCACAATTTCATGAAGTAGGCAGGTGATTATCCCTTTTACAGGTGAGGAAACTGAGGGTCAAAGAGGTAAGTGGCTGAACCTGGACTCACATCCATACAAGGACACACTGTAACACATCTGAAATGGAGAGGCATCTCAGACTGGACGAAATTGCTGTCCGTCCAAAGGCAGTTGTTAAGAAAATTGTGCACGTGAACAAACTTGGTCATAATTGATCACATTTTTGTCACTTCAGAGTTGTGTGCATTTTTGGAACTATATGTGTTGAGTTCAGTTGCTGTTTAAAATGTCTTCTGAGAAACCGTTAAACCAAACAGCAATTTAGCTCATTTAATAAAGAGTGTTCGTCTTGAGCATTACACTCTTTTAAAAAATTACCTATATGGGATTAAGTGGGCAACAGTGACTCAAACACAGACGAGAACTTTAAGGGGCGGAGAGTCTAAGCCATAAGGCAGTATGGGCAGAGATAGGGGGAATGGTGATGCAACGTGAAGTACGTACTCGTAATCACTGTCAACGGACTGTACCTGTAAAAATTGTTGAATGGGTGTATGTTTTGTTGTGTGTATTTTCACAAATTATTTTTTTAAATATTAAAAAAACAAAAAGTCATCTACAATATGGCATGATGATTCAGCTTTAGATGAAAAGTAACAACTCTGTAACCAGAAATGCCTGGAAACAGTAGCAGGGGTCCATTGGATGGTAATAAAACAAATGTTTGTTGTTGGAGGAATAACTGCAGTCCCATTCTTGCAAAGTTACCAGCCAAGAAGGGCAGATTCCCTCAATTAGACAAAGCTGGGTTGAGTTCTGCTGCTGAGATGCTTAGATAAGGATTGTCTGTGCCAGTGGTTCTCAAACTTGAGAGTGCATCAGAGTCACCTGGAAGCTTGCTGGACCACAGATTGCTGGGCCCCACCCCCAGAGCTGCTGATTCAGTAGGTGTTGTAGTCTGGGTTCCCTAAAGGAACAAAACCAGTGAGACGCAAATAGGTATTTATTTCAAGGAAATGGCTCATGCAATTGTGGGGGCTGCCAAGTCCCAAATCTGTGGGTCAGACGACAGGCTGATGACCTCTGCTGGCTCGCACGGTTGCAGGGGTTGGCAAATCCAAAATCTGCAGGTCGGGTGACAGGCTGGAGCCCTCCGCTGGCTCACATCCTAGGAACTGGGGTCAGACGCTGAGAAGACTGCAGGAACCGAAAGAGAACAAGCTTTGCCAGAACATTCATTTATATAATGGATGTAGGCCACACCCCCAAGGAAACGCCCCTTTCAACTGATTGGCTGCTCACATCAGATCACAAAACGGGAGGTGAGACATAGTGTCTGCCAAACCACTGAGAATCGTAGCCTAGACAAGCTGACACGTAACATTAACCCTCACAGCAGGTCTGGGATGGGGCCCAAGAATTTGCCTAAAAGCAAGTTCCCAAGTGATGCCAATGCTGCTGATCGGGAACCACTCTTTGAAACCAAGCTGTGGACATAAAAGGAAGAGCAGTAGCCAGATCCCACAGAGTAGATGACAACATTTCACCAAGAGGCAGGTATGGCTGATTCATGCATCAGAGACCTGGCCTTAAGACGGTATGCCAGAAGCTCTCTGCTGACTTTGAACCAAAGCCGTTTCACTTCATGTGACATATTCCAGTTGAGAACATTGACACCATGCGTTTACTCAAATACCACCAAAAAACCAAAACCAAACCCATTGCCATCAAGTTGATTCCGACTCATAGCAACCCTGTAGGGTTTTGCAAGGCTCTGATCTTTATGGAGGCAGACTGCCCCATCTTTCTCCTGTGGAGCAGCTGGTAGGGTCAAATTGCTGACCTTTTGGTTAGCAACCGAGCGCTTACCCACTGCACCTCCAGGGCTCACTCAAATACCAAGTGCTTACAAAACCCAGATGTCATTTGACATGCATGAGAATTATCCTGTCATTGCCAAAGCTGCTTTAGAGATGGAGACCAGGAGCCTGAGTTTCATATCAAATGTCCAGAGATGTCTAAAGGAGCTGAGTCAATTGATATAAAATGAAATTTCTAAAAATATGAAATCATTGTGTCACAATGTATTTAACTGGCAGCATATTTTTATTACTAGGAGCCCTGGTGGTGCAGTGGTTAAAGTGCTCAGCTGCTAATGAAAAGTCGGCAGTTTGAATCCACCAGCCGCTCCACAGGAGAAAGATATGACAGTCTGCTTCCATAAGATTTACAGCCTTGGAAACCCAAAAGGCAGTTCTACTCTGTCCTATAGGGTCGCTATGAATCAAAATCGACTCAACAGCAATGGGTTTGGGTTTTTTTGTTATTTGTATTAACGGCCCATAAAATAATGGTATATCTTATAACCTATAACTTCTTAGATCCAAATAAATATGGTATTTGTTTTAATGTGTAAGGCAGAATAATTAACACCTCAAACCTGTGGCGTGTATAGTATAGTTCCGCCAAAGCCAGAATAGGTAGTGATGTTAGACCTGCATTGATTGAAATACGAGTAGTCCCCAATTTAAGACGTGTTCAAGTTGCAACAAATCATACTTACCTTTTTTTTTTTTTCTGGTACACCTTATTAGTAATATGTACTACAGATACAATGTGGCAGAGCATAATTTGCTGATATCATTCTCAGACGTTCACTCGTAGATGTTCAGTTTTACAATTTACTGTTCAGTTGCTTGAAAACATGGACCCAAACACTGATCACTTTGCTAAAGTCGATAGGCAAATTCGGGAAGTTACTGTGAAATATGTGAAGACAAGGACCATACAGACAGCTCTCACTAATTTTCTGACTAGAAATGCCATCACCATTCCCAGGGATAATTCAGGTGATTCAGAACTTTCCACAACTGGAGTTACTACAGCAACTGACAAAATGCCAACTTCCTCCAACTCTCCTTAATCATCAGAGAAAATTTTTATGATTTGTGTATTTTTTATGTACATATTAAAATATATCTGTAGTTTATATTTTAATGTTTCCAACCCCAAAACACAAATACAGATCAGATTTATAAAGATACAGATAATAAAAGGCAATAATAATGAAAACTAAAAAAAAAGAAGTGTTCGACTTACATCCGAATTGACTTAACAACGGAGTAATTGCAGTGGAACCCCACTGTAAGTCAGGGACTACCTGTAAATATATTCAGTAAACAAAATGGCAAAAGTATCGAAGGTGGTGCCTTAGGGACTGAGGTTTGGAAACAGAATGTGACATTGGCTCCAGAATCTCCTTTAGGTCCTCTCAGTAACAAGCCCCAATTGGTCATAGTCACGCCTCATTGTAAGCCAGATTTTTATGTGACAAATTATAGTAAAAGAAGAAAGAAAATATTTCCAAGCACCAAACCACAGGCTCTTTCATTAACAAAGTAGTCACAAAATTATTTTATAAGAAAAAAAAAGAAAATAGAAATTTGACACTGCCTGCTATATCTTTTATAATATTTCATGTTTGAAGGTTTTTTTTTTTTTCCTCAGAAACTTCAGTGCAAATACACAAAAGACTTGAAAGGAGGGACTCAAACAGATACTCGTACACTAATATTCATTGCAGCACTATTGACAATAGGCAGTAGGTGGAAACAATGCAAGTGTCCATCAACAGATGAATGGATAAAAAAAAAATGATAGAGTCAGACAGTGGAATATTACTCAGCCATAAAGAGAAGTGAAGTTCTGATACATGCTACAACATGGATGAATCTTGAAAACCTTATACTGACTGAAATAAGTCAGATCCAAAAGGACAAATATTGTATGATCCCACTTAGATGAAATATCTAGAATTGGCCAGTGCATAGAGACCTACGCTTATTAGTATTTATTGCTTAAGGGGTACGGAGTTTCTGTTTAGGGTGATGAAAAACACTTGGAAACAGATACCTAGTGATGACGGTTGTATTCACAACATGGTGACTATAATTAATTATACATCTATTTGAACTGTACACTTAAAAATGGATAAAAGTGGCAAATGTTTTGTTATGTATATTTTACCACAATAAAATTTAAAAACAACAAATTTCAATGTGAGCTAAAGGATATTTTGATAGGGGTACTCATGCTCGGGAGAGCGTCCCTTAGATTTGTAAGGCTAGTTTTGCCCAGAATTCTTTCTATTCCTTCCTTTGGGGTGGTTTACCAGAATTTTTTGATACAACTTATGAAAGTGCCTATGTCAATTAGAACACACTTGACTGCAGTTAACTGAAAACCTACCTGGAATAAATTATAGGGGCATTTGTTGTTTATTTAACAAGAAGACTAGATTTGGGTGGTTTCAGGACTGTGGCTGAACATCTGATTCTCCTGCTTTCCCCTTATGTTCACAGAATGGCTGCCACAGATCCAGGCATCACATCTTCACTCTAGCATGTCCAAAGACGGAAGTAAGGAGTAGCTAGGGCAGTCTGAGTGAGCTTTCCTCAACTGCCTCTCTTTCTCCTCCTCCCTTTTTAAAAATGAATCAAGGAGGAAACTCTCTTACAGAAGCCCGAAGCAATTATTCTCTAGCATCTCATTGGCCAGATCTGGGCTACATGACACTCCTAAGCCACACGAGAGACTTGGAATTCAATCTAGCATGTTTATTCTTTACAAAGGGGGACAGGCAAAGGAATATCTGTTGCATGCTCATATTATGAAAATTAATCATCATGATGTCTTTTAGTTGCAGCTCCAGAATTTGTTTTTGAACATGGCTATCAAACTTATCTGCCCACGGAAAGCAATGAAAACCAGACAGCCACTGTCATCTCTCTCCCTGCCAAGTCACGCACCAGAAAGCCCACAGCCCCACCTGCTCAGAAAAGGCTTAACTGTTGCTATCCAGGTAAAGGGAGCACTAAGTCCTGCTTCTGCAGAGGATGTGACCTATAACCAAGTTTCAAGCTCTTCCCTCAGGATCCTAACAACTGGATGCTGATGTGCTCCAAGCTGCCATCCCTGGCTTAAAATCTCTACAGCATTTACATTGGCACATCCGAGTACTCCCTCTCTGTCCCTCATCATTGTGCATACAGACACTAAGACTTTTATAGACACAGGCTTTAAAATGGGACTTGGGAGAATTTCAGGTTGCTGTGATTTTTCTTCCAGGGCTATAGCTTAGAAAGACACTGAGAAAGATATCTTCCTTTTCAGAAAAACTTTTCATTTTGAAATAATTTCAGACTTACACGAAAGTTGCAGAAATAGTACAAAACAGCCACATTACTTATTCATAAAAACATCCCCATTAGATAGTATGAGATATAGGGAAAGGCTGAATCTGTGATGTATATGGCTCCCATCACCTAGTAGTCATGCAATAAATACCTTATGGATGACGATGAAATTACAGCCATGGATGCAGACCCTGCCATCATTGAACCTGCATGATCAAGGTGGGAGAGAAAGACAAAAAGCATGCAAAAAAAATTCTTTGCTAAAAAATAGTACAAAAAATATCTGTATACCCCTCATGGATTCCCTAAAGGTTACCATTTTACCATGTTTGCTTGGTCATTCTCTCCACAGACGTATTTTTTTTTCTCAAGCTATTAGAGAATGAGTTATAGATGTGCTGCCCTTTTACCGATGAGTTATTTCCTAAAAACAAAGAAATTTTGTATAGCCATAGCACAATTGTCAAATCTGGAAATTAACATTTATACACACTGTTATCAAGTCTGGAGTCCCTGGGTGCAAATGGTTAAGCACTGGGCTACTGACTGAAAGGTTGGCAGTTCAAGTCTACCCAGAGGCACCTCAAAAGAAAGGCCTGGCAGTCTACTTCTGAAAAATCAGCCATTGAAAACCCTATGGGGCACAGTTCTACTCTGCCACACATGTTGTCACCAAGAGTCATAATTGGCTTGATGGCAGCTGGTATTATCGAATCTACTGACCTTATTCTATTGACCTTTTTCAAATTGTACCAGTTATCCCATGAATATCCTTTATAACAAAAGAGAAATACTGTTTTTCCTCTATAAGCCAATTCAGGATTACATATTACATTTCGCTTTTATGTGTCTTTAGTTTCCTTTAATCAGGAATAGTTCCTTAGTGTTTGTCCTTTATGACCTTGACATTTTTTTGAAAGTACAGACCAGTTATTTTGTAGCATATGCCGGGAGTTTAGCTTGTCTGATGTTGCTTGTGATTAGATAGAATCAATGCAATCTTGGCAGAAACCACAGAAGTAATGTTATGTCTTTCTTGGTGCCTTGTATCAAGAGGCACCTGATATCTATGTCCCATTTCTGTGATGTTAACTAAGGCGGTTAACACCATGGCTAAGATGGTTTCTGCCAGGTTTCTTCACTCTAAGGAATGTGTGTATCTGTGAACCCCTGAAACTACTGCCCTGAGATAATCTTTAAACCTTAAACCAAAAATATCCCCTGAAGTCTTCTTAAAACCAAAGCGTACTTTAGCTTAACTTGTAAAAAACGTCTGCCTTGAGCATTACGCTCTTTTAAGAACTATCTATATGTGATCAAATTGACAACTGCAACTCGAAAGATTAGATAGGAATCTTCGGGGGCAGTGAGTTTATGTTAATGGGAGAGGAACAACTCAGAAAAGGAGGGTGAGAATGGATGCACAACTCAAAGAATGTAATCAATGTCACTAAATTGAACATGTAGAAACTGTTGAATTGGTATATGTTTTGCTGTGTATATTAACAACCACCAAAAAAAGAAAAAAGATTATATGTATCCTTTTGTAATTGATCTTTCCTTGATTTTTTTTTAGGTTGCCAATTCAAGACTGCCTATGGCATGAAGGACATGGAGCGGCATTTAAAAATTCACACAGGTAAGTAATATTTGTTTAGCACATGTGCCCTGAACACCTGCTTTATGCTAGGAGCTGGGATCCAGAAAAGTCAGATGCATTACAGGATGCAGAACTTCATTGGTTCAAATTCAAATTGACTAAGAGGCTCATTTTTATACATTTTTTGGCAGAAAATGTTTAAAGCAATAAAATCTGGTGCTGGAGAGGATGTGAGCAAACTTTGCTAGTGGGACTGTGAACTGCTATAGCTGTTTTGAAAACTGATCTGGGAAAATTAATTGCAGTGTGAATGTACATATTCTTCTCATTGTGAGGAGATATAAAAATAAATGTACCTGTGTGTGTATGATTCTGTGTAAGACTGGCAAAGAGGAATAAGGGGGAAGAAAGTAACTTTTCCTCTATCACTGGATACAGTGAGCTGGCGTTATTTTGGCAGTTGTGAAGGGAAATGCAATAGATCATTACAGGTAGTCCCCAACTTATGATGGGGTTCTGTTCCAACGACTCCGTCGTAAGTCTGCTGTGACAAAAGTCAAATACATTTTTTTTTAGTTTTCATTATTATTGTCTTTTATTATCAATACTTTAAAATCATAACATTGAACATCTTCAAGTGAACATACATGCTGCAACACAGTATGTGGTGCATATTACTAACGATAATATGTACAAAAAAAAGATGGCCGTAAGTACAGTTTGTCGTAACTCGAATACACTGTTAAGCTGGAGACTACCTTATATAAAAAGGCAAGAGGGAGGAGGAAAGGGTGAATCCTTGCTTTAGGGGCACTGAGTCTCTGTTATGGCTGATGGAAAAAATGGGAAACGGATAGTGGTGATGGTTATACAACATGATGAATGTAATTCATGTCACTGAATTGTACATGTAAAAAAAAATGTTGAAATGGCAAATTTTTACCACAGTAAAATAAAAAGGAAAGAAAAAGATCAAGACATGGAAAAAGAAAAAAGTGATCATGTCTCATGATTTTAATTTTCTTTAATGTATTATTTTTTATGTTTCCCAGATTTTCTGCATGGGGAAGAAATTGCTTTCAGGCTACTTTTAGCAAAGTATTAGGGGGTCATAATTCAAAAAATGTCAACATGTTTGAATTCAAAGAGTATAAATGTGTATAGGGTAGAACGACATTCCAGTTCAGCTTTGTCTTCATTAACCACCCAAAGGCTACTATTTAGCCTCAGCCTTTGGAAGATGAAATAGCTGACAGTTTGCTATTCCTTGGCCATGACCAATATTGCCTTATTGCATTGAGGTCACCATCATATGTAATCAGCCTCACAGCATCACGTCACTTGGAATTATCATACTTACCCAAATGTTGAGTTTCAAATATTGGTAAGCATTTTCAACATAACAAGGAATAAAACTTGTCTTTCAGTTTCATATGTTGAAGTTCCATCAGTCCATGACAGCATGGTTACCACTGAAAGAGTAAAGTGCTCTAATTATTAATGATGATTGAAAAAGCATTGTATAAATGTAAAGGAGGGCAACGATCTTAAGTCTGTTTCTGCACATTTTCAGAAAGCAACTTCACACAGTTAGCCAATCTTGTGTTAGTTTCCAGTCTGGGATGATTCCACGTAAGAGCAGCGTCTCCGTTGACATCTTCCCGTTGGAAAGTTGAGGAGACGGTGTGATTCCTTACTGTAGTTCCTTTCAGAGAGGAAGCTGTGCTTTATAAACTGTAACAGCAGCAAGGCTCTTTGCTGGCAGAGCTAGAAAAATGACCCAGCCCCACCACCATCACACAGCTGCTCCAGGTAGCAGATACCCAGTATGGCCACCCCAAGAGCTGCTTAGCAGCTGACGGTGCTGAGAAATTATTGTTCCTGAAGTTTAAAATTTGATCATTACAAGTTCTAATAGTCAAATTATTTTAAATGAACTTTTAGATATAGTCTTAAATCCCAGATGTTCATTCTGTGATGAAAGTGATCAGCTTTGACTGACAATTGATTTTAGCACTTGACTCTTTAGCCTTTGGCCAAAATACAGATTGGGTGCCCTTAAGGTGTAAAGTAAAAAAGTGAAAATCCTGACCCGAAACCCATCTCCTTCTAATTCCATGCCCCAGAAGTTATCAGCCTTGATAGTCTAGTATCTATCATGCCAAAATTTTTACATGCCTATACTGGGCCTAAAAACACACACAATTTATCTTTTTCCCTCCTTATTAAGTTAGTACTATATTCACTATCAAGGATCCCTGGCTGCACAGTGGTCAGGCACTCAGCTGCTAACCAGAAAGTCACTGATTTGAACCCACCAGCTGCTTTGGGAGAACAGACCTGGCGATCTGCTCCTGTAGAGATTACAGCCTAAGAAACCCTAAGGGGCAGTTCTGTAGGGTCGCTACTAGTTGGAATCGACTCAGTGGCACACAACAACAATGTACACTATCACAGCAACTTGCTTTTTTCCATTAAATACTGGATCTCTTTTCACATCAGGAGCCCGGGTGGCCCAGTGGCTAAGAGCTTGGCTGCTAACCAGAAGGTCGGCAGTTCGAATCCACCAGCCAGCCGCTCCTTGGAAACTGTATAGGGCAGTTCTACTCTGTCCTATAGGGTCGCTATGAGTTGGAATTGACTCAACGGCAATGAGTTTGGTTTTGGTTTTAAGGAGCTCTGGTGGTGCAGTGGTTAAAGCACTCCGCTGCGAATCAAAATGTCAGCAGTTCGAACCCACCAGCCGCTCTATGGGAGAAAGATGTGGCAGCCTGCTTCCGTAAAGACTACAGCCTTGGAAACCTTAAGGGGTAGTTCTGCTCTGTCCTATAGGGTCGCTATGAGTCAGAATCGACTCGACTGCAACGGGCGTGGTTTAGTTTTATCCATATCAGTACGTACGTATCTGCTTCATTCTCTTCAGTGGCCAAGTAAGCAGTTAGTTCAGTAATTTATAATATATCCCTACAGTGAAATGCTGTCACATTGTGGATATTTAAGGATGTGAAAAAAAATGACTGAAATTGTTTCACATGCAAGAAGGTAGTCGATGGAGAGGCAGGGTGGCATTGTAGCTAAGAAGGTAAGACGATCCTGGTTGTAGTCCCAGCTGTTGAGAAGATTAAATAAAATAATTCAAAGGCACGATGCCTTTCAAAAAGTAAGTGTTGAAATTGGTGTTATACAGGAGTTTTTTTTGTACCAAAAAACTACACACACGTACAAAGAAGACTGGAAAAATATACATCAAAGAATTAGCAGTTCATGGGTGGCAAGCTGGCAGATAATGAGGTACAAACTGAGCTGCTTTAACATGGCAGCTCATGGGCTCAAACAAGGTAGAGGTTTATTCCTCTCTCACATAACTGCCCATCGGTAAACAGGCAGTCTGGGGCAGGCAGGCGGCTCTGCCTACGAGATCATGCAGGGCCTCAAGTTCCTTCTATCTCGTTACATGACGCTGAGTCTTGCAGTTCGTTGTTGTACATTATGTTACATTAGATTACATTACTCCACTGCCTGCAGGTGTCCTACCCTCCCCTGGCCTCACCTGCTGGTTGACCCCCATGCCCTCGTTGCAGTTAGCAAGAAAAGGAAAAAGAGAAAAAGTAAAAGACAGTCAATTTCCTTTTACAGACGTGACACACCTTAATTTCTCTGCCATTCGTTGGCATGAACTGAGTCACAGATTGACAACGAGCTGCAAGGGAGTCTGGGAAATGGGGTCTTCAGCTGGTCAGCCACTGTTGTTGTTGTTAGGCGCTGGCTACTTGATTCCGACTCACAGTGAGTCCAGATGACAGAGTAGAACTGCCCCGTAGGGTTTTCTTGGCTGTAATGTTCACACCAGGTCTTTCTCCTGGAAAGCCGCTGGGTGGATTCGAACTGCCAACTTCTTGGTTAGCAGCTGAGCGCTTCACCGTTGGCGCCCCCAGGGTTCCTTTGGTCAGCCATGAGATCTGCTAAAACTTACAGATGCTAAGTTTTAGAGTGGGGCTCTACTGTGAAGAGGAAGAAGGGGAGAATGGATACAAGGCACAATGAGCAGTTTCTTATTTACTTAGCTGTGTATAGGGTCTCTATGAGTCGGAATCGACTTGACGGCAATGGGTTTGGTTTTGGTTTTGGTACCTTAACATGTTACTTTAGTTGCTTTCTGTTTTTAAATAATACGAAATTCACGTTCACTGTAGGAAAAGCTTAGAAAATACCAATAAGCAAAAAAAAAAAAAAAATCTACTGCCATCAGATCTATTCCAACTCATAGCGACCCTATAGGACAGAGTAGAACTGCCCCATAGGGTTTCCAAGGAGCAGCTGGTGGATTCGAACTGCCAACCTTTTGGTTAGCAGCCGAGCTCTTAACCACTGCGCCACCAGGGCTCCATAAGCAAAACGGAAGAAGAAAATTCCCCTCTCCCAAGATGTTAGCTGATTGCCAATCATCATCCAGCTTTTTTTTGAGTTTTCTAAATATTTCTAGGGTGACTCTATTCCTTTTTTCATAAGGGGGGTGGGAAATAAGCTTTTTTCTTTTTAAACCTGGTTTCCTGATGCATCTGTGCGTATGTTTGAAGGAGACAAACCCCATAAGTGTGACGTCTGTGGCAAGTGCTTCAGCCGGAAGGATAAACTGAAGACCCACATGCGGTGCCACACGGGCGTCAAGCCCTACAAGTGCAAGACATGTGACTACGCCGCAGCCGACAGCAGCAGCCTGAACAAGCACCTGCGGATACACTCTGACGAGCGGCCCTTCAAGTGCCAGATCTGCCCCTACGCCAGCCGCAACTCCAGCCAGCTCACCGTCCACCTCCGATCCCACACGGGTAAGTCCCTCAGCTTGTTCTCTCCTGAGGCTCCTAACTTCCTATTGCTTAAATCATGAGTGCATCTTTAAAGCACCTGGAGGAATCTAGTCACGGTGTAAGTAAATGAATTGGGAGTTTTGCCTTTCATCTGCCCGGGAGAGCCTTGTGGAGTAAAATACTGACGCAAACCTGTTGCCGTGGAGTCAATTCTGACTCACAGCGACCCTATGGGACAGAGTAGAACTACCCTATAGGGTTTGCAAGGAGCGGCTGGTGGATTTGAACTGCCAACCTTTTTGTTAGCAGCCAAACTCTTAACCACTGCTCCACCAGGGCTCCTTTTAAGTAAAACAGGCGGAGGGGAGTCAAATTTATAACTATATATATATATATACATATATATATATATCTTTACATATGTCTTTATATAAGTTTATAACTCGTTCACTCGTAAATTATGTAATTGAGGAAGTGCGCTAAATGAAAGAGATATCAACAATGCATCTTTAACCAATTTCTACATAATATATGGGCTAGGCATTTCAATCATTTTATAAAGCATACTCTGCTTAGTTCAGCATGGGAAAGCTTGGTTGAAAACTACATGGCCAAGTCAGCAGAGTAGGTAACTCAAGTTATGCACATTTTCCTTTTGGTGAGTGTATAGGTTAGCTGTTGACACAATGATGCTGTGTAACGATAGCCACAAAACCTCAGTGGCATATGATAATAAGCATTTATTGCCTACATGCCTGAGGTCAGCTGGAGTTGGCTAGACAACTCTGTTGATCTTGGCTGGGCCTAATCACATGTGTGGGGTGGGCTGGATGGCTGCTGAACTTGGCTGGGGTAATCGAGCTCTGCTCTGCGTAGTTTTTATCCTTCTGCCGGGACCAGTGGGCTAGCCCAGGCTTGTCCATCTCACAGTGATGGCAGAGGCGCAGGCCCTAGTGCATAAGCCCATTTCAAGCCTTTGCCTGCAATAAGTCTGAAAACATGCCGTTGGCTAAAGCAAGTTGTATGGGTGGAGCTGGTGGGTAGTTACCACAAGGTTACATGGCAAAGGTTAGGGATATAGGGAGGGGAAGAGAATTGTGGCCATGTTTACAAATGATCAGTCTCCCTTCATATTCACCATCATTCACATCTCTCCCACATGCAAAATGCACTCCCAAAACCCCTACAAGTCTCATACAATCATAGGATCATTAAAGACCAGTATCTTGTGATCTTTGTCAGGTTAGGATATGGCTCCTCTTGATCTAGAGACCTTTGAAGTAAAAAGATAAGTTATCTGCCTTAATACACCCATCATGCAATGGTGAAACAGAGCCAGGATAATGGTGTTAATCCTGACGTTCAAAAGGGAGATTGAAAAGCATTTAGCAGTCCACAGCACTTCTGAAACCCCTCTAGGGACAGGGAGTATTTCTTGATTAAGCCTTGATCAACACCTTGACTCTTGTCCCCTGGAATATCCTTCCCATCACCTTCCTTAGCTATGTCCTTTGAGAAACTTTCTCAGCCTGCTTCCTGCCTAGAGAAAGCTTGGGGTCTTTTTACATTCTGTTTTAGTCTAGGCTGACAAAAGTTTTGCCAGTAGAGCTGTCTTAAAAACTTCATGAGTTTCCTGTGTATCCATGTGCCAAAAGCCACACCCCTAATTCTTTTAAAGATTTGCCTTCCTCTCTAAACTCAATTATGGGCCCTTTCAGCATATCATGCATCTGTGGGTTCAGTTCCTTGAGATTTCTAGGAATCCTTCTGTACTACTGAGACAACCTATACGGCATCAACTGAATTCTTTTAGAGGCTTTAACAAAGTGTCTTGTAGTCACACCCCTCATTTGGTTTTTACGCTAAAATCCATTCCCTGGATATGATCTTTGTCCCAAGGCTTTATCTTACTGTAAAAATCTTTTTCTGACCTGTGAGGCTAGAGATGAGAAACCCTGCCAACCCAGCAAGTCTTGGACTTTCTACGTTCCCTCTAAATTCTGCTTAGAAAATGGCCAGTTCTTTTTTGACTTGTCTCTTTCTTGTAGGACTTTATCCTACGCAGCTTGTGAGACACTGGAATGAATCTCTTTGCATTTTCTATCCTCTAAGTTACCACTGGTGACAGTTTTACCAACTGTGTCGTCACTAAACAGTAAGACTTGCCGTTTTTCTAGTCTCTGCCTGCTACCCAGTCCCAAAGCCAATGCTACACATTTTGGGTTTCTGTTATGGAAAACAACAGTTGCTGCTGAGTTGATTCCGACCCGCGGTAACGCTGTGTGTGTCAGAATAGAACCGTGCCCCATAGGGTTTTCAGTGTCTGAGTTTTCAGAAATAGATCCCCAAGCATTTCTTCCAAGGCGTCTCTGGGTGGACTCAAATTGCCAATCTTTCGGTTAGCAGTGGAGCACTTCACTATTTGAGCCATCCAGGGATGTTTCTGTACGACAGTACCCTATTTCTAGGTGCCAGCGTCTGTATCAATTATCAAAATAATGCAGTGAAACTAAAACACACACACACACACACACAACCTCAGTGACGTACAACAATAAGTCTTTTTTGTTCATGTGTTGGGGGTCAGCTGGGTATTGACTGGGCAGCTCTGCTGATCAGGGCTGGGCTCGCTTACATGTCTGGGGGTCTCCTGGCAGTCGGCTAGCTGCCCAGCGGCCTGGACTGGGGCAGTCCAACTCTGCTTTGCATCTCTCATCCTCCTTCTGGAACCAGTGGGCTAGGCCAGGCTTGACCTTCTCACGGCAATGGTGGAGGTGCAAGCAAGCAAGCCCCAGTGCACAAGGCCCATTTCAAGTCATTTAACACCCACTGCCCAAATCAAATGATGTGGTTGATCCTAGTGTCAGGGGTCATGGTAGGTCTACCTGCCCCTGTTGGGAGAGCATGCAGAATTACACAGCAGAGCCATGGCTACAGGTGGGAGTCAGGCTGGGATCGGGGGAAGAGATTTGGGGCCATTTTCTTAATCCACTACAGCAAGTTAAGATATTGGCATCATTATGCCCAACTGATGGTCTTTGGAAATCTTCCCTAGCCTCAGTTAGAGAAACTGAAGGATTCATTTATCAAAGTAGTTCAGAATCATTTTGACTTGTAAGGATAAACTTGTGATTTATAGCACCTTTCAACTGGTCTAGAAAAGGTGTGTTTTCTAAAAATTTCTATGTGTGCCATGTATAAGGATAAACTTGCGATTTATAGCACCTTTCAATGGGTCTAGAAAAGGCGTGTTTTCTAAAAATGTCTAGGTGTGCTGTGTGTGCACTCTCTCTATGGAATGCTCCTTTTCCTTTTAATAAATCTGTGGCACTTGTAAAATTTTAAATTAATAAGGTTTTGTTTTTATCCTCCCGTAGATTTGCTCGACTGCATTGTCATTTGTCTTGGTTGCAACCTCCACTCAAGATTGATCTTTCAGCTTAAATTATTAGTCACTTGTTCACTCAACAAACACTAAGTCTGCACTACATAGCAGATACTGTGGGGAGCAGGTCGCGGACAGGAAAAGGCATAGTCATTAGCTTCAGAAAGCATATAGTCCATAGAACTGTTTACTGACCAGCGTGCCTCATTTAAGGAATAAACCTATGGTTAAAGAAAAGAAAAGGAGGGATTTAAACCCTTCGCTTTCATGTCAAGAAGTGTTCAGTTTTGCAACTCAGCTGTGAGATTGGGTTATCCGGCTTTTTGGGGTTCACCTCTGTTGGCTGCTAAAGAAATGTAAGGCCCATCCTGTATCTTGGGCAGGGATGTAACTGAATACCCTAATAGAACATTCTGAAGCAGGGATTCTTGATCTAGGCCCATAGATACCTCCCCTCAAGGGTTCATGAATAGCGTTTAGAAGGTCCATAACTTGGAAAAAAAATAACATCTTCATTATTTTCACTAACCTCTATAGAAATTAGGCATGTCTTGCAATTATGAAAATGGCAAGAAATCTGATAACAGTGCATGTGACCTTGCCACCAGCAGAAATCACAGATATTTTCATAAAACATCACAGTTATTTCCGATAGATCAGAATCTCTTTTACATCCTTTGCTACTTAGAAATCATGGACCCGCCGCTCAATCTTGTTTAATGCGTTAATGAAGAACATGCGTGGCCATATCACAATTTTTTTACTTTTAATATTTTGATAACTGTTTCAATATAATTGGTTTCTTTGGTATTCCCATTGATGTTTATTTTCATTCATTTTATGCATTTATAACATTAGTGTGAGAAAAGGCCTGTAGTATTCACTAAACTGCCAAAAAGGGGTTATGCATGAAAAAGGTTAAGAACAACATTCCAGAGAAGGGCTCCGCACATTTTTTTCTGTAAAGGTTCAGATAGTAAATATCTTAGGCGTTGTGGGCCCTACGGTCTCTGTCACAGCTCCTCAACTCTGCCATCGGGCACAAAAGCAGCCATAGACAATACATGAAGAAGTGAGCGTGCCTGTGTTCCAATAAAACTTTATTTACAAACACAGGCAGAGGGCTGGGTTTGGCCTATGAGCTGTAGCTTATTGGTTCCTGTAGAGTTTAGTATGCATGATCTTTGTGGTATTAATCAAGCAAAGCATTGTTCAGGTGTAGGTTTCTTAACTTATAAAACCAAAACACCAAACCCGTTGCCGTCGAGTCAATCCCGACTCATAGCAACCCTATAGGACAGAGTAGAACTGCCCCACAGGGTTTCCAGGGAGCCGCTGGTGGATTCAAACCACCAAACTTTTGGTTAGCAGCCGAGCTCTTAACCACTGCACCACCAGGGTTCTCAATTTATAGGAGCTTGTTAAAATACTCCCGGCCATCTTTAATTGCATTTATTAAGCATCATATGCTGATGTTGTAGGCGCTATCCCAAAAAGCTAGAACACAATTCCTGCTCTTTTGAGCTTCTTGCCTAGGAAAGCAAACATTGGTTGCATATACAGATAATTTACCTAGCAATTAAGAAGACTGGCTTTGGACTCAAGCCTGGATTGGAATCCAAGCTCTGCCATATAT